TTTGGATGAAGGATAGAAGTGTTGCCTATTTACAGTGGAAGCTAATAGTGTTCTCTGCATGACCAAACATGGCCTTAGTCACTTACCACTTGACTTGAGTTGTCCCGCGAGTAAAAGGAGCCCAATGGTTACGAAAGCAGACAAGACGCTCGAGGAATAGAGAAGCGCCAGAAGAAATCCTTGCAGTGACTGCACAAGAAACAAGTTCCACAAATATACAGACGTAATAATGGATCTTTTTCAACCAAAACATTTGACAGATGGAGAAAAAGGTTTCTATTCCCCTTGCAATAACCATGTGTTTACCTTCGCAAGTAACAAAGCGTTGTCATTTGCATACTGGAATGAGCTCTCAGGTACACTCGCAACACGTTGACTCAATCCCCAACATAAGATCCTATATTTCAAGGACATAAAATAATAACATCAACAATGAAGCCCGCACTAGTTTTACATGGAAACTGAACATGGTATTTAGCAAATACCCGAATGCAGAACCAATGGCAGCTCCAACATACGCTTTACCAGAACTGAGCGCAACTTCAAGCTCACCAAACTGCACAAATGAAATACTCTCACAAATACCTTACAAGTTGTAAGAAAAAAAACATGTTCCTTGTTCATATCCGTCCATTGCCAATGTTGCTAAAGAGTCATTATTGAGTATTGACAATGCCCTAGTTTCAGGCACATAATGAACTAAATCAAAATGGCACATTAAAGACTGCGAACATCTTGACTCCCAGATCCCAACAGAGTTGGGATTATTGTGGGTTGTTGTTGTTGATGATGATGATGTCGTCCCTACAAATATACTCCATAAGACACTAACTACCTTAAAAGTCCGGGTTTGTTGCTTTGGTTCTTCATCAGTACCTGCAGATACTGCATATCCAGACAAAAGCATCCCAGTCCTCATCATCACTTCAGCAATCTGTATCGACCCAAATATTCACCCATAAATAAAAAATGTGTCAAATAAGTGACTGACCCCACCGGGAATATTATTGAAGGCGCAAAGTCAAGTGATGAGCCATTTTGTTAAGTGTGGAAAGGATAGCTTCAATTAAACACATGCAGCTTTTCATATACTATATATCCCATCCTGACATTTTATTGACTTGGAACCTTTTCTTAATACTCCATCCATTTTATGAAATCAAGAGAACATATATTGTAAAATTTTTACTTTTTCCCTTTCTCTCCATGTCAATTATCAATTAAAGTAATGGGCATTAAGATTAGTTTAGGCGTAATGATGCTGTATATATCGATTCTCTTAATATGTGAGCATATTCCAAAGCAAATTCTTAAAACTACATTGTGAAACAAAGGTAGTCATAAGTACTTGCTTGCTTATGCTTCACATAAAACGGTGTATCTTTTTTCAAATTAAAAGTCTGTTTTGTGCGAAGTGTGAATACAAACAAAAAACGATACACACTTGCATGTATCTAAAAAAAACCAAACAAATTTTAAGTAAACTACCCGCAGCACTTCACCCTTGTCATACTGTCCCATGGACCGAAACCTCCTTCCAGCAGATAACAAACGCTTTCCAAGTGCTAACTAACATTAATAAAATATCAGATTTCAGCTACTCCATGATCACTTTAATTGACTGTGTGCTTGCAAAAGCAAACCTAACAATAGTCTGAATATCTTGCCTGACTTTTGAGAACTTGTCAAAGAGTCTCCAAGCTGAGTAACCTTGACCATCAAAGCTGCAGAAGTTGACGCGTCAGCCAGTTCCCATGCTCTACTTATATTTAGCAATGTCTCCCCGAGCTCTTCACCACACTGTAATAAATGTTGGCTTCAAAGGTCAAATTTTGTTTATCCATTCCCGTTGGCAAAATGGTAAGAGATGATAGTACGAATAACTGACCTCACTTTGAACTGGACCATTTGAAAGATCAAAGGCTGCATCATTTAGCTTCATACAATCATACCATTTGAAAAAAAATAGTACTTGTCAATAAATAGAAAAATTAGTCAGTTCCTCTACCCTCCACTATCCCAAAAGAAACATGCAATTGTAGATAAGCTAGATCCTTAATGGCAAATAACACTCGACTCGTACTCCGTCCCAAAAATATAGTTATCTTTGAAGTATTTAGGACTCTTAAATTTTGGTACGGAACAACACTCGTAAATAATAAAGCCTACACATATTTTTGAACTCCTTTGTAATTGTAAAATAAATGTAACATATCATACAAGGAACATACATTTTCTCAACACTAAGCATTCACAAATAATCACAATGCATGGCCCATTACACCAAAATTACCAATGCAGATAACAAAAAACTACTCCCCTATTCCAAAATGTTTTACACTTTACGCAAAACGAAGCAAAATTTCAAGTTTTTTAAATTCATTTTATATAAAGATTGGTATAAAAATTAATAATAAATCTTACACATTTAAAAAATACTTCAAAAGTTCTACAAAATAAAGGGTGATGAATATTTTATTTTATGAAATAATCAATCAAAACGCACAAATAAACAAAAATTTCTATCACTTTTGAACAGTGAGGAGTGTAATTCTTTTTTAGACTGAGGAATGACAGAATATAGGAATTTTAAATTGGGGACGATAACCTTAGAATCAAAACTCACATCGAGACGAAGATCCCAAGGCAGACGTGAAAAATAATCCGCAGGGAGAGCAAAGCTGTCCTGAAAGGGGCGATCAAACACAAGCAATACATATATACAGCATCGTCAAAAATGAAAGGAACAGCAAAAATGGAGAGGCTTCGAAGCTTACGGCAACTTCTCGGAGGAGAGATCGAGGATCGGGCTCGAGGGATTTCGCGGAGTCTGAATCTGAGAATGCGAATGGGACTGTGCTTGAAAAGCTGGCTTTGAGGAGAATTGAGTAACAGCTGGGGGAGGGGCAGGGAAGAGAAGGGACATTGTGGGAATCTCTGGGAATGTGCAGAGTGAATTGGGGAGAGCGGTAATGGTTGGATAGTCGGAGACGAAGGACGGCTGAAGGGGCAGAAGCCATGGGAGGAGGCTGGGTAGAGAACGGACATGGTGGGAATTTCAGAAGATATTGTTTTTTTATTATTATTATAATTAAAATTAGTAAAAAAAAACTTTACCCGGTCTTTCAAAAATAATCCCAACTTTATAAAAATTTGCCAGTTTTGGGTCGCCGTTAAGTTTCTAACGGAGGGTTAACGGAAATGTCTGTTTTGGGCAAGAAAATGAAAGTTGAGATTATTTTTGATGAATTTTCATTTTTTTATTTTTTTTTTAAAATTTTCATTTAAATTTTTAAAATTACTTTCTAACTCCATCATTTCTTTTTCCTTTTTTAAAGATTAGTCTTAGTTTAAAAAAATAAAAATAATAGATATAAAAAAATGAAAAAATGAGAAATGTAAGTATGTAGCTAAAATGATACAAAAATAATAAAATAAATAAGTTAATCAATGGAAACTAACTTGAAATTGGTAAAAGTAAAATAAAAATATACGGGTGGGTTTTAATAGTTTATGCACTATACAAAGTATTAATATATCACTTCTTATTTTTTTAAAAAAAATATCTACAATAATTCCAACTTTACCGGACGACTTGTTCTTTTAAAAAATGAGTTGTATATTAAGACTCCGTATAATGTGTAAAATGTTAAAACCCACCACTCCGTATATATTTATTTTATTTCTTACCAGTTTCTGTTTAATTTCTATTGATTACACTATTTATTTGATTAATTTTGTATGTTTTAGTGTTTTTTATCATTTTTATTATTTTTTATATCTATTTTTTTTCTAAGGTAAGAATAATCTTTAAAAAAGAAAAAGAAATGAAGGTTGAAAGTAATTCAAAAAATAAAAATTTCAAAAAAAATTAAAAACCAAAAGTTCATTAAAAATAATGTCAACTTTCATTTTGTTACCTAAAACGGGCATTTCCGTTAACCCTCAATTAGAAACTTAACGGCGACCCAAAGTTGACAAATTTCAATAAAGTTGGGATTATTATGCATCACAGTGAAAGGTGAGATTATTTTTGAAAGACCGTGTAAAGTAGAGATTACTTTGATTAATTTTTCCTTAAAATTATGTACACATTCATGTCTTTTTTCCATTCTAAATCTCTTTCTTATTTCAATTTTTATGGAATTTAATAAAATGATAATTTTGTATTGATTTTTCCAAATTATCCTAATGGTAAAAGTATAACATAATACGTAGATTATTACGGAGTACTACGTATTAAATATGTATGATGTGATAGATAAAGTAAGATTCAAATATGTATCATGTAATAAATAAAGTTAGATTTAATAGAGATAAAAATAATTTTTAATAAAAAGGAAAAAGGAATTTTGAAACAATAAAAAAAGAATTTATATACTCCCTTCGTCCTCATTTTTATTAGAATTTTATTTTCTCTCTTTTCTCGATAACTTTTGTTTATTTTTGCGTTTTCATTGATTATTTGATAAAATAAAATATTCTTGTCACCACCGTTTTAAAAAATTTTTGATATAGTTTTTTAACATGTAATTTTTATTTCTTATTGATGTATCATTTGTAAATAAAATGATTTCAAAAATTGTAAAATTTAATCTCGTAATTCCCATTTTATGATTAAAATAGAGACAGGGAGCACTTTTTTGCACATACATGCACACAGAACAATTTTTATTTAACTCTTTGTTTTAAACTCTTATAGCTTTTTTCCAGATGTCACGAAAATGAAAAAAAAAATCTTTTTTAAGATAGAGAAAATATTATCCTAAGAGTCTTGTAAACCACCCCTTTTTTTAGGGTTTTGCTAGGAGTACCCAACTTGTGTACACCAAACTTGTCACAGACACACGAACATCAACTATCTGTATTCACACAGACAGTTGATTCATGTATGTCTATAACAAACTTGGTGTACACAAACTGGGATCCCCCTAATTTGTTCATTTTTTTAATCACTTAACAACTCTCAAGAGTTTAACTATTTTCTTTGTTAACTATCTTATGGGAGTAGTATTTTACTAGACCTATTCTAACCTTCTATCTCATTAAACCACACCTCCAAAGTCCAAACTAATGTCACATTTAACTCCAAGTGAATGGTGTGGGTGGGGGATACCCAACAAGAGTATGTAGTAAACAAATACATTGGAGAAAATAATACTCCGTATCTAAATGCCAAAAGGCAAAGAAAAAGACCAAAGGAAAAACACAACAGAGAAATAGCAGCATTCCATCATCAAAGAAAACAAAACTGCTCCCTCCCAATAAGCCTCCTCAGTACTCGCACCAAGTGTATCTGCACCTTTTGCATCTATAAAACCGGGTCGCGGGCTCGTCCGCGGACCTTGTTTGCATCTCCACAAAAGCTGCTTCGTCGTATCCACAAGTCGAACATCTCTCTGCAAACACCGAAAATTTTACACATGTAAACATTTTAAGAAGGTAAATATCAGATAATTAAGGACCAGGATGCTTGATAAATACTGCGTATATGATTATCGATCACCGAGCTTTGTTATGATGCGACGCGAAATCTCACATTTTCTTTACTAGTTTTTGTCTTAATACCTTAATCACATTTTCTTTAGTCCCATATCGGACAGACAACATGCGAGAAATGACAATGCATATGACACACCACGTCTGAGTTAAGATCCAAGGGTTGTGAATGGGGGAATCAAACAAATTTAAAAAAATATGCTTTTGCATCTTCATAAATAAGTCGAGCTTTTTCATCGTGAATTATGCAAAAACTACAAACTAAAATGTGCACCGCTGCATTGCCATGAACCAAAAAAAATGAATCTTTCCCATTTCACACATTAACGCCGAACCCAAACTTTGTGTTGAGTGACAGTGTGTGAAATATGAACTAGAAATATTTCAAATTCTAAATGTCCCAAAATCATCTTCTCACTTGCAATTTTTTTATTGTCTAGAAAATAGAAATCATATTCTCAATATTGTTTTTTTTTTTGGAAATTTCAAATTTGTAAATGATATTTTCATCCTTCAACTACTGAGCTACCCACATATGTTCTACACACATCACATAATATAATCATTTTCCTAATAAATAACAATTTTTAAAAATACTCCAATAGTAAATGACATTCTCACACGGGAAGTTTCTTAGGGACCAAATGAGGACTTCACAAATGCTCTGCCATTACTTCTCCAGAGTTCAAGGTCACTAGAAAAACACTATTTTTGTTCTTTTTTCTCTGAGAGTAGTATTTTTGTGAATCATTCTCCATGTTCTAGAATTATGGCGGTTGATAACGAAAAAAGTAAATATTGCGGTTGAGGTCTATGCATAAAAGAAAAAAATTGATACGGAGTGTGAAAAAGAAATGACTTACCACATACTTGTGTACCACAAAGTAAAGCATAACTTTGGGACGGGCGAAAAAAGAAATGACTTTCCACATACTTGTGTACCACAAAATCTCCGACAAGGTTTGGTTTTTCCGGTACCAATTGGGGCTCTACCCTTACCACCTCCATGGGCCATGGGGATGGTAAGCAAGAGTAATGGTGATGCTAATGAAGTCCATTCCTTATGGTGGTAATTTTCATATGTTTCATTTTCAAATACCATAATACTTAGATGCTATATATACTCATGACAACCACAAGTGATTTGAATCACGGTAAGGAAAAAAATCATGCATGGAGACTATATTTCAAACCACACATTTTATATAAAAAAGAGTTAGAGAGCAATCTCCACAGACCTTTAGTCGTTGGGGCTGTATCCATTGAATCGACTGAAAGAATTGGATCTAGCTTCTTTGGAACTAGATGCATTTTTCTCTTGATTTTGACCTGAAAGAAACACGTAAAATAAAATTATCCGAAAAAAGTGAGACCAGCATAAAATAAGAAGTTTTTCTACAGGTACCGCACCCTGGCTCCAATGTCACATATATACGGGCAAGTAGGGCAGGCGAATCCACCAGGGCGGTCCATATTCGGCATCTCAAATTGCAATAAGTTAGCACATGTAGGGCAAAATTCCATTTCTTGTTTTGCAAGCCAAAGTATCTGGATTCCAAAAATACATGATATAACTCATTCACTAGTAAATGGAGGGTAGATTACTGGGGTAAGGCAAAACACTTTCAAGATTTACAATGGGGCAACACTAAGTCACCGACTCATGCCTACCTTTGACGCAACACAGATTGAAATGAATATTGTGCAAGTATTGTGGCAGTTTTCTATTGATTGCTTCTATGGTGTCTTTACTGCAAAAATTGGACTTCGAGTATATGTATTTTTTTTTACTTCCTTTGTATCAGCTTTTAAATCTACCCCATATTAAAATGCCTAGTCTGACATTGAATCACCTACTCTAAAAGATTATATATGAAACAACAAAAATCTATAGAAAAAGAGAGGAAGCTAATGGTGGAAACAAATAATGAAGGTTCACTAGGTAAGTTTAAAAAATAATTTGATAGTTTACCCTTGAAGAACCAAACGTACCATAAACAAAAAAAAGGACTCACAAATAAAACAAGGATAAGGAAGTCTTACCGCGATGAAAGAACAGTAGAAGACGATTGATCCTTAAGAAGAAAAAGACTATGAGAGAGAAGCCGTAAAGGCACAAGTGCACAACAAGCCGTATAGGAAAGAAGATTAAAGTTCACTAGGTAAGCAGTCAATATATTACTCCCTCCATCCCAAAAAAAAGCTCCCAGTTTGACTTGGCACAAAGTTTAAAGAAATTGTAAGTGTATGGTTGAAAGTGATGCAGAGAAAAGAGAACTATTGTGAGCCACTCAAAAGTTTCCATAAAAGAAATGATGTGGCTTTTTATGGGACGTCCCAAAAAGGAAATAAGGAGTCTTTTTTTGGGACACAGGGAGTACTATGTAACTCCAACATCAATAGAATCTCACGAAAGTAGGATCCCTTTAAAAAGAATGTATGTGGATACCAATGTCCACACCATCCATCCTCACACTACACATTTTGGATAAAAAGATCGGAGAGTAGATAAGAAATGTTTGGTGGGGAAGGGGTGTTCAACTTGGTGTGCATCTAGGATCACCACAAATGTAGGATTAGGTAGAAACCATATTCATAAATACTGAGTAAATTTTAGATTTACACACAATACAAACACGATAATACGAGAATCAAAAAATATAGGACAAACGACACGGCTAAATATAGTGCACAATTTAAGTTACATAACCCCCTTCCATATGCTAAAATTCACATCAATAGTGCAAAAAACGTAACAAAGCAAACAAAAGAAGTGAGAAATCTAAAATCACATACTCCGTAACATATAACATGGCTATATAGTATATGGGTGACATTACAGTGAGATGAGAGGCGGACCTGAGAATCTTAAAATGAGAGAAATCGCTGCTAAGGTTGTTTCGTGGATCGCTCCTCGCCGTGCTTTTCAACTTTCCGATCTGAGAATCTTCTTCTTCTTCCTTTATCTTTTAGTTTTCTGAATAAAAATCGGATTCTCCTTCACCGCAGGGTTTGGGGTTTGCTGGGTCAATAATAACAACAGGGTTGCATATTTATATACTTTTTGGTAATGTACATGACCATGTTTGGTAATTTAAATGTATTTTAACTCTTATTTTAAGAATAAAGACATGGAAGTCCTATTTTGGTATATTTTCAGTGTTTTACTTCTACTTTAGTCTTTTTCTCTGTTTTTAATCTTATCCTCGACTTATCTAAGATCAACTCACTGTATTTTTAAGAAAATAGTACTCCTCTTCAGGGCCGGTCCTGAGAATTCATATGCTTGGGCCGAAACAGAAAAAAGGCCCTAAAAATCTTATCCCTAATGATCTAACAAATTAACATATGTAAACAAATTATATTTAAATGATAATTAACGCAATATTATTAGGGAAAAAATGACAAAATTATAGTATTATAATTACATACCGTAAAAGCTAGCCGAGGATTCGAGAAGTTCTAAAATAAAATCCAAATTCATAAATTCTACTACTTAGTAAAATCAAATATGAAAAAGCAAGCAAATAAATAAATATATCATAAATTCATATCAATTCGTCAATTTTTGTTTCTGAAACAAAATCCAAATCCATAAATTCTACTACTTAGTAATATCAAATATGAAAAAACGAGCAAATAAATAAATATATCATAAATTCATATCAATTCGTCAATTTTTCTTTTTATTACTTTTTCAGTTTTAATTTTTTTAGAAAAATCATAACGTTCAATCCATCAATTTTTCAGTTTTAAGTTTTTTAATAAATCATTACGTTCAATTCGTCAATTTTTTAGATTTTATTTTTTTTTTCAATTTTCAGTTTTTTATATAAATATATCATAAATAACAAATTCAATCAATTCATCCAAATCAAAGAATGAAATTAGAAAAGATTTCAAATTTAAAATTAATAATTAACCCTAGATTTTAAATTTTAAAAATGAAATAATGAAAGAAAATTAAGAAATAAAAATTACAAAATTGGAAAAAGAAAGAACCGATCGAAAGAGACAGGCGGAAAAATACATGGAGGCTGGAGGTCGGCGTCCGGCGGCGTCGTCTTTCGTGAATCGTCAAATCGGTTCTTCTTCGGCTTCTTCCAAATCGGCAAATCCGTATGCTTCTTCCGTCTCTCTCCTACTCTCCTAGTTCGATCGGTTCCTTCTTTTTTTTCTTTTGTCTATGAGTATGACTACGCCACTAAGGATAGGAGCTGGGCTTTAAATTGTTGTGGGCTTCTTATATACACATTTATGTATAATACAAAAAAAAAAATTTGTGCCCCTTAAATACTTGGGCCCGGTCCGGACAGACACTTTGTCCTAGGGGTGAGCACGGTCCGTGATGGTTCATGATACTAACGGAACCTATCACGAACTGCTATTATTTAAACGGTTCGGTATCGATACGGGATGAATTCCAAAACCATTCGGTATCATTCCGTTTTGAAACGGAACGGTACAATACCATATCCATGCTCAAACCGTGCCAAAAAAATGAACGTACATTACTTAAAGAATATTGAATTTAATGTATAAATTTGTATAAAAAAGCACAAAAATGTTAAATAAAAGTATTGATTTCAAATTTAAACGAATCATAAACATAAAGAATAAAAGATAACGAGTCCAATGTTAAAAATTAATTTTTTTCCAATTCATATAATATTGGAATACTAATGACTATAAAAACATAATGCCAATAGTAATGATAAATATAATAACAACAATAATAATGAGAAAGTTTAAAAATGAATACTAAAATACGAAGTACTCTATACAATGGTAAGATGAAGTAGACAAATACTCCATAATTGTTTGAGATACGTACTCTGTATATAGCGTTGGACGGTTCGGTCCGTGATAATCGGTCTTAAATATTTGTATCACGGTCCTGTCCCATTTGGTATCGGTTCGGTTTCGGTTTGTGATGAAAAAAATCAATCTCGTTTGAAAACACTATAAACGGTTCGGTACCATTATAGTACGAAGTACTCTATAGCATGGTATGGTACCATGCTAGTTTGATTTTTTTGCCCACCCCTACTTTGTCTCCCTATTGGGCCGGTCCTGCTCCTCTTGCTCCAAAATGTTTGTCATCATTCTTATTACGACCTTTCATTAATTTCACCAAAGTTTACATGACTTTGGGAACCAATGTTATGGGATGACCCGAGAACGCTCTGGTGCCCCGTTCGTAATATTGACGGTTCCTACCCCCCTAACCCTCCTGGTAAACCCGAGTTGGTATATGATACATCCAGATGTACCTAGAAATAGGTACATCCCGGTAGTACTCATTCTGAAATAAAATAGTACTCATTCTCGTACAAATATAAACATTCATTTCGAAATACGTAGTACTCATTCTGGCAAAGATAGTACTCATTTTAAAATAAAGAAGTACTCATTTTTACACATTTGTTTAATATAATTATAATAAATAGCGTACTGTTCATTCTTAAAAAAACAATACTCATTCTCAAATAAAGAAATGTTCATTCTGAAATAAAGTATTGTTCAATTTTTTCACAATTAAAAAGTTCATACCATCATCAACTTCTTCCTCTATTCGATTCGTTTCTACTCATTTATACTCTCTGAGCATGGAGAATTTAAAACACAGGTTTATTCATGTTTGTAATGAATAAAAATATGATAATTCTCATAAGTGTTGATACTCTTTCTCAAATCTGCTGGTACTCATTGTTATATATAATAGTTCTTATATATGTTCTGGGCATTGGATAAAAAGTTTGCAAAAGTGTACACCAAAAGTGTACCCCAAATATCCCCTACCCCCTCCATTACCACAAAAAAGGCAAGTAACATTCAAAAAAGAAATAAAAAATAAAAAGAAAATAAAATGAATTGTGTAGAGGCAAGTGGTGTACATTTGGGGTACACCTTTGGTGTACCCTAGCATCTCCCTATTTTTATTGATCATTGGTAAAGGAGTATTGACAAAGCTTTCGTTTTGTTCCAATGTTCTCTTTTGAGCCAAAGGCTTATCCAAAACTGCTTTTTCGGCTCTTCATGGTAGAACAAAATTTAGGACATGTTTGGGTTTCAGTATTTTGGATGACTTTTGATGGTTTTGACCGAATTTGATTGGTCAAACAACTAAAAAGAATGTTTGGAAGTTGATTACAAGGATTGGCTGTTTTTAAAAAGCTACGACTCCTACAGTCCTACGAGTACCATTTTGATTTCGCTTTTGGAAAATGAAAATTTTTTATTATTTGTCATTGCATGTAATTTTTATGAATAAATAAAAGAGAGTTATTTATTGCATAATTAAATAAAAATTGTTAAATAACTAAATATATAAATAAAAAATTGATTAATAAATAAATAAAAATTGATAAATAAATAAATAAGATAAATAAATAAATAAAGTAATCTACCAATAAGTATATAATATATACATAAATAAATAGTAAATAAAAAAATAGTCCTTCCCCATGCAAAATTCATGAAGGGATTTGCGAGAAAGAAAAAAATTTTGAATTTTTTATTGAGAATTTGGTGTATATTTAAAGACTAGATAAAAAATTCTTAGAAAAAAGATGATATAATTATATTATTCTATCAATTCATCAATAAAAACACATAAATAAATAAAATCATAATGACTTTGGAATAATATATATTGTAAAGCATGTTATACCATATAATTATAAATGTGAAAATTTAATTTAATTTAATTTATTTAAAAAAAGCTTTTTTGAAGTAGCTAAGTTTGTCAAACAATTTTTTATCAACAACTAATATAATTGATTGGTCAAAACAGCCTACACAACCAACCGTTTAAACTTTAAACAACTCAACACAGATAGCTATCAGCCAACAGCCAACATCTAAGTTCCAAATAAGGCCTTAATCTTACATTGTCCACACTTCATTAGGAAAAATGGCAACAACGTAGATCACGATATATACCGTACAACCAATTACAAATTTTTATATACATATGCAGCAAGTACTCATTTTATAGCAACTAAACACTCATTTTTCAAAAATTTAGTTATGCTTGAAAATGAATATTTGATACCCAAATAAATATTCAGTTATTCAAAAATGAATATTCAAGTGGATTACGAGAAACTACATTCGAATATATGGTATAGATACTTCTACATGAAGTGTTGTTGGTTGAAGATATGATATTTCAAGACCTGTATTTTTTCAACTATTATTCAAGATATAATACTACTTGCATCTCAAATTTTATCTACTTTCTTTACATATTTTCATTACTCGTTTAATACTCTGCTATTTTACCTTTTCATTTGAAACTTACAGGAGGGTTTAAACCTGTTCAGAAAAGTTTGGCCAATAATAAACAACTTCCTTCTTTCAAAACAAGAACAAAAAGGCAACTCCAAAATTTGGCACATATATCACATGCAGTCTACAAACTGCAAGAGCAATAGCGAAATGTACATAACTTGAAAGACATTCTAAGAACTTAACAGGCTAAATTCGCATGATATATAACAATGCGATGATCAAATATGTTACATAAGTTTATATCACAACGTTAAGGGTTGGACCTCAAGACCAATGTGTTTGTGTGTAATATATATGTTGGCATCTCTCCCCCCACAGGTGAAGCTATGTACTTCCCGCCACGGAAACATCATCGTCCGTTGTTAAAATTTGAAAAGGCAAAGAAAAGTATAAATTGGAAAGCAAAATCAGGCCACAGAATCAACATCACTTTCGTCGCTCGCATCACTGCACCAAAAGAGGACACAATATATCAGGAGCAAGATTTTGGCATAGTTAAGAACAACCATTGGAAAAAAAAGTGGGATGAGAATAACATTAACCACAACAAATTCTATTGTCACATGGTAACAATACAATATCTTAACAGGAAAAAAATTAGAACAGAGGGGACTGAGGGAGTAGCCACTTTCTTTTTTCGCTAGTCTCAATATACAGTTATGTTATACTCCCTTTGTCCCAAAAACTTTACCCGTTTGATTTTCACGGTGTTTAATCAAAATATGAACAGTGAGAAGCGTATGGTTAGAATCCGTTTTGATGAGAGAAATCTTGTGAGCCACGTTTTCATTACTAAAAAAAGAAAAAAAGCGGGAAATGTTTTTTAAGAGGTCAAAAAAGGGAATGTGAGTAAAGTATTTTGGGACAGAAGTAGTAAATCTCAACCACATAATTTCACTTTCTTGTTCTTCATAACCATGCAAAGTCAAACCTGAAAATATTATGGAACAAAGGAAAGACTTTTGAAAGTTTTTAAAACACAATTTTGTTTTGGAGCAGATGGAGTATTATTCTACTTGTATCATCTGTATATGTAGTTCAAGTATTACTCCCTCTGTCCCGAAAAAAACTTTCATGTTTGACTAGGCACAAAGATTAAGAAAAGTGAAATTGTACGGTTGAAAGTTGTGTAGAGGAAAGAAATAATATGAGCCACAAACTTTTTGAAAAGTAGAAAGTGGAACTTTTTTTTGAAACGGGTGAAAAAGGATATGTTGAGCCTTTTTGTTGGACAGACGTCTACAGAGGGGAGTATTTTGGTTGAAACAGCAGATAATGCTTTTTAATTTTTAAATATGTCTTTTTTTAATCGGGTAAACATATCATTATAATAATAGACTAAAATCTCACCTATGCTCTGGAAGCTTGGAAATCCGCCTAGCATCCAAACCCGTGATAAACTTTTGTGCAGCTTGAACATTGTCTACACCTGGAAAAGCACATTTTAGAGACATCTATCACAAGGAAGTTTTAAAAACATGAAACCTTGGTGTATTGTATTTTCCAAGTAGCATCGTAATATAAACATGAACATGAAAAATCTATGAATTTTGCATATCAGGGGCAGTGCAGGGAATTTTTTTTATAAAGGGTTGGTTTGGAAGGAGATTTTTGGATGGGCTCTGTCTATATCTTAATACAAAGTGCTCCGTATAAATTAACGGTAAAAATAATCCTTCAACATTTATTAAAACCCTTCATTCATTTTTATTCACATTCTACTCTGTATTTATCAAGATATAAACTAAGCCCTCCACAAAAAAGACCCTATACAAATTCCTTACCTTTATCCAATTGAAAAGCATGCAAGGCACATCTCTCTGCTGCAAGTCTCACCGGTGAACTTCCATCTTTCAGCAAATCAGCTAGTACAGGACCATATTTTAATA